ATAATTTTACCTTATCTATATTTCCTGCTGTTGCTCCAGACATCCGTTTCTTTGTCTTAACGGTCCATCCTTTTGGCAGCCAATCAGACTTTCTCTTCTCAGAACTTTCTCCTGCTATGCTCTTCATATTTTTCATATTATCAAATGTAGAGTTTTCTCGATATAAACTCTAAGAAGAAATCAAATGGTTTTGTTCCTTAAGCGACGGGATTTATATGTAGTGTTTTGGTAATTGATATTTTGGTAATAGGTTGAATGCAATATAAGGCGAATAAAAAGGGGGCGTGAATTCGAAATACAAATCATTTCAGAATGCTTTGCGTATAAGGGAAGGGGACGTGAATTTGCATATACAAATCACCTGAGAACGCTCAGCGTATAAGGGGCTGTTTGGTTGTATGTTTTTACCATGTAAAAGGATGGAAAGTGTAAAAAAGTGGGTCCCAATGTCAGCTTTCATCACTTTCAATTGTTTGTTTGTAGTTGTGAAAATAGTGTAAAGTGATTTCATATGCTGATGTTGCTTGTAAAGTGATTTCATAAAAAAAGACATGATTTTAGGAGAAAGCTGACATTGAAGTTAGAAAAATAATAATAATAAATAATTTCAACCAATATGATCATTTGAGTAGGGACCACTTTTTACACTTTCCAAACAAACAATTAATATTACATTTACAAACCAAACAAGCAATTTATGATTCCAATGGAATAAAAAACAAACAAAGAAAAATATACAAGTGAAATTGATGAGGTGGACAATAACTTTCCAAGTTGTGTCATAAATACACAATTTTACTAACAACAACCAAACAACCCCTAAGGGAAGGGGGCGTGAATTTGCAAACCAAATCACCCCAAAATGCCATGTGTATAAGAACGAGGGCATGAACTTTTTTTGACCGGAAAACAGGGTGAGGAGCCCTGCATATATATATATTAATGAAAGCATAATTATACATAGACATCGTTTGGGAGGAGTTTGGAGGAAAATTCCAAGACCCCAAAGCAAAACAACCAACAAAACATCAAAATGAAATCCAGAAAATAAGAGAAGCTGCTACACTTCTAACACAAAAAAACAAAAAACAGAAAAAAAAAAACAGCTGACAAATTGTCTAGAAAGCTTCGAAGTAGACTGGGACTAAGAATCTGGGAAGAGAAGGACTATTGAATCAAATTGCTGCAGAGAAATTATTTTCCTCCAAACTAAGAGGGCATGAACTTGCAACTTGAATCACGTCTAAATGCCCTACGTCTATGAAAGGATGCGTGAATTAATTTGCAATGCAAATCACCTTTGCACATATAAAAAGAGAGAGCGAATTTGCAAATACAAATCACGTCAGAACACTCGCCCCGCATGTGAGCTGGCAGCAACGCCAGACGAAATGTTCAATTTGCCCTCCTACCACACCCATCGATGGTTAAAAAACACCACTCGCATGTTAGGCGAACTGAGGGGATTCAGTATAAATGGAAATAAGAGAGAGGGCGGGGCGTGGATCGGGTCAGTCTCAGATTGATCCGACGTAGTTAAATCATAGCCATCATGTTTATTGATCGGGTCAAGGATCTAAATTCGTATTCGAACAACATAAAATCAGATGCCATTGTAGTATCTTCTTAACCTCTTCAACACTTTTACGGATTTGGATCCTCTCCACTACAAAAAAGTAGTGGAGAGACCACTACTTTTAATCTCAAGCGTTGATTATTTAGTAGGCGGTTATGATACAATCTAAATCTAACACTTACCATACCCCCGTGTATTGCACTCATTCCTAATTTGCACTAAAAGAAAAAAATCATAACCATCAACTAGATAATCAATGGCTGTGATTATGTAGTGGTCCCTCCACTATTTTTTTTGTAGTGGAGAGGATCCGAATCCCACTTTTACATGTCAGTACCTGATTTTTTTTTAACTTTAACCACTAAATATTTATCTGCTATGATTGAGTGATATCTTTGTAGTCTAAACATAACTTTGATTTTTCTTTAAATGGTCAAACCTGGTGAATTAGATCAAGCCTGCTAATTTTTACTTGATTAAGAGATTTAGAGCTAGCTATTTTGTAGTACATTAATGGCTACTAGGCTACGAATTTTAAGCGTACGAGGATTTTCGTAGTGATGGCATTCAATTTGATATGAGGGCGCTAACTATAAGCTAACAATCTATTTTAGAAAATGGGCTGTCAAGTTACTAACTTGTGAATCCCTACACTACACCGCACCGCACCAATGTAAGTATGTAACTAGCGTGAAAGTTCACAAGCACGTAAATCTCGTATTTGTGTTGTCTTATCTGTGAGTTGCCATAGCTTGTAGGTTCCCTCGACATTTCAGTCTTAGAACTGATGAGAGGGAGAGTGTATATTTCACTTTGATGAAATATATCACTTTCGATTCGATTCTTGTTTCCTTTGAGAAATAAGAATTTCACTATCTATTCGAGTTTCCTTTGAGAAACAAGAATATAGAGGTTGACTTGTGCTTTTGTGACTACAAAAGTCAGGGCTATCTCCTAGGTGATATCGCTTCCGCAACGTGAGAGCGTGACTCTGCGCTCAACACTCTGTGTTCTCAAATGATAGCTTCTTTTCTTTTTTTTCTTTTTTTTTCCTCCATAAAGTGTTACACCCTACTTTTTTTTTATCAATGCAAATTGTCCTAAAGCATAAAAAGTGTTGTCCTACAGCACAAAAAGTGCCAATAGTTCAGTAACAACCAAATTCGCCACCTATTTGTTAACTATTCATGTTACACAGTGCATAGTCCAAATGCTTAGTTCAACAGTAAGGATCCGGATCCAACCAACTCACCGCAGTCCTTGTTCAAGCCCAATATATAATAATACCACTTGCTCATGGGCAGGTGAAGGTACAAGTTGAACACATTTTGTCCACACAATCCACCAGACTAATTAAACAATATTAGAGGCTCATGTGATCTGCCACCAATTAATCAAGATCATCATCATCATCTGCTCCAAATTTTTGACGAAAATCAGGAAAAAATAATCCTAAGGAGGGCGTAGGGCGGAAGATGGTCATGTTATCTATTATAGACCAAATTCCTATCAAAACTATCCGTATACAACAACTATATCATATTATGTGTCATGTGTTATATGAATATTGACATACACCTCTCTAATTTCTATAATTGTAATTATTATAAACCGAGAACGTGGTGATAGATGAATGTGAAAAAGTAAACGCACAGATATCTCAAATATCATCCACTCTTTGCTCCGCGTGCGCTGGAAATTCCATATGTAAATATAGTCTCCTATGGAAAGGTTAGAAAAAGATAGTGGACTTAATTAATGAAAATTGGAGCAAATATCTTGGTTAATCTTTATAGATTAATTTAGCTCTCAAACTCTATTTAAGATTATTAACTTTTGATTAGGTCCAATTACCCCTCCATACTGGTAATGATATAAAAAATGCCTTCTATGGGACAACTTTTTTTTTTTTTTTGCATAGAAACCATAGGATCCATCCATCTATGATTAGAAGTGGACTAATCATAATAAGATTGGTAATCATAGAACAAACTAATACTCTAAACTTCAATTTTTCCTTCCCTCTTCAACAAAATGTGAGTCACACTTGTTTTTCTTCTGCTTCTTCTGCATTCAAACCGACCAATGTGGGGCCCCATTCAATGGAGTAGGGCTTATTATTGAAGCTGGGCCATCGATGAGGCAAGGATTAGGAAAGGTTAAGGGCTGGGATTGTGGTCAGAGGTTTGTGTTGTTTATAGATTGTTTGACTGCACCTAAACTGCTTTGAAAATGTATTTCGTCTTTGACTGGCAGGTCACATCAAGGGCCTGTGCTCCACAATCCACTCTTTTGCTTGCTCAAAATTGCCCCTTGAAATCACGTTTATCTACAAATTTGCCAATAACGTCTTCGAAATTAGAGTATTTATTTTACACTGTGTGATTGGTATATTATAAGTTGGTTACTCTTGATCAATAAAAGGTTGAGAGATTTAGAAATTAGTGAATTGAGTGAATAAATTTTTCTTGTTGCACCAATTACCACATTTAGGACAACCTCGAGTATAGTGTCATTTTCATCCGTTCGCATTCTGATGTATACAGAAACAAGCTCCACATCTGTTACATATAATAAATTAAGATTTTGATCAGATCATTTAATGAAAAAGTATGATTTCGATGGCAGATTGATCTCGAGAAATGATTTATTGATAACTTCAATCGTCCAAATAATTAAGAAAGCATAAGATCCTAACGTATAGAAAAGCTATAGATTTGAAATCTAAAGATGAAATTGAAAGAGCGAGAAGTAGAAAACTAATGGATAGAGAAATACCAAGTGTACTTGGATATTAATTTTAAAACAATTCCAAAAATGAGCACATGATAAGTTTTATAATAACTTCGTTATACAAATAGTCAAGTTTTCAATCCAATGAGTATAAATTTTAGTCACAAGTTATAAACGGAAATCTAATTTGTTTATAGATATGCGTGATGTACACGGTATCAGAAATAATCAGCATAAATGTGTACGTATTTGTATATAAATATCAATCTTACTCAACAATAATGTTTCTTTAGATAGTAATATCTCCAAGGTGTTCACAACATTTATCCTCATGATTTCTTCTTCTGTCCTTTAAAAAAGAAGACTCTTTTTTTTTCTTTTTATCCACAAATCCAAACAAGATAAATTTTCAAACAAGCATATCAAAATTAGAAATGTGATGGCCAAGGCAAACATACTTCTTGACCATTTGTATAAAAGTATCAGTGCTACTCACTTCTCTCTCTCTCTCTGTCCACAAATATAAACAAGATACGTTTTTGGAAAGCATCTCAAAACTGAAAATGTGTCAATGGCCAAAGCAAACATTTTGGTGGCCAACCAGTGGCATTTTGGGAAACCAATAACATCAGAATATTAAAAGTCCTTCAATGCTGCATAGATGGCCAATATCTTCAGCTTTGACCAGTGTGCTCTCTCTGTCACTGTCACCCCCTTCAACTTTTCCTCTCTCTTTACCCCCCCACAATTTATTACTACTACTATTATTTTCTAGCTATAATCCAAAGACTCTCTCTTGTTCATCTCTGTCTTCGTCTTCCGGGGGCTGTTTTCATTTTTGCACACGGATCCAATTTGTGGTGAATCCCACAGGTCAGGTTCTTGCTCTTTGAGCTTGCAGATTTTTTGTGGAATTTGATCGATTTTGTTGGTAATTATAGGGTCTTTTGTTCTGGGTAGTAATCAAAACTCGAGCCTGTTGGTGATTGGCCAACTCTGGGTTTTGCTTTTGGATGGTGTACTGTTAAAGATTGAAACTTGGAGGAGTTTGCTTTGCCTTTTTGACAAATAATGATGGTTTTTTTTGGGGGAGGGGGGGGTTTAATGATTTTTGCTATAGGAGGCTATTGCCTTTTTTTTTTTTTTGGATGGTAACTGCAGTGATTTCTAGAAATTAGGGTCTTTTATTGGCCAACATTTGGAAGTTTACGGATGGAAATTTGGGGAGAGGGCCAATAGATGCTGTTTTAACCTTTTTGTTGGATTAAGAGAGTTTGGGTGCTTTCACACTGATTGTTGTTAAAGAGGGTTCTAGCTTTCGAAGTTTGAACTTTGTTAACTATTGGCTAATTTTTGGCAGTGCTTTCGGATGGTTCAGTGTCAAAAACCTGAAGTTAGCTAGAATTTTCTAGAATTTTATGGGTAATTTTGGCTAACCATATAGCAGGCTTCTGTTGATGAGGGTGTTTGGAATTATGTGAAGGTTGAACATGTGGAAACAAAAAAATGCTGCGAGTTCAAAGAATGTTCCGGTGTTGAAATTTCCCTAAATGGAACAATATTAGTTTGTAGGTTTTATGAAGAAACTTTGGCATCTAGATCAAGGAAGAGAGAAATCTTTAATTCTACGGTTAAGTTTGGCAAGTTGGCAACGGTGTTAACAATTACACTAGTTGCATATACGGGGTAACTATTGGATTCGCCTTTGCCAGTTCTTTGAGTCGATATACTTCGCAACCGCAACACATTCTTCTCAATGCTGAGGCGTTATGTTGTTGCAAAGTGGTAGGTATAGTTTTCAGTTTGGTTGGAATAGTTGGGGATTTTCATTCTTGATATATAATTCAAGTTGTTGGTTCCTAGCATTAGAAGATGAAATATCGGTGCAGGATTTAGTGGCTTTGTGTAACATGAATTCCATGGGTCCTTGTCTTGAATTGAAGCATCAATTCAATCTTGTGAAAAACCTAACCACTTGAGTTAATAAAAAATTGGTTCTCTACATCCATGTTCCCTTTTCTATGTATAGGGCTTTCTTAGTCTGAAAGTACCTTGGTAAGTTTCTCACCGCAAGATGAGCATGAACGATAATTAAGCTGAGCAAATGTTGGATCTTTTAGTGGATACCTCAAAGATCTGTTTTGAGCAGGAAGCAGAAACAATAAACATTTTCAGCAGAATCTTCTTTGCATTGTCAGCTCACATTTCTTTGTAGATGTTTATTAGGAGTTGAGGTTACTGTACAATGGTTAGAAATGTGTGTACGTGCTACATACTTGAATTATGGTGTCGCGCTAATTGGCTGCATTTTCTCTGTTGAGCAATGAAGCCATGAGGTTACGGGTTGCATTTGACTCCTAAGACTAAGATACACATGAGAAGTATATCAGAAGTTTCTATCAAGAGCCTCTATTTTGCGGAGCAATTTTCTATCCAAGTTAGCAAACCGTCATAGCTTTTTCTTGCACCCTGATTTTCTTGTCAATAAGAGTTATTTCATAAAATAGCATTTATATAAAGCTCTTCCTCATGGTAGTTTTAAATGTTCGATCATACTTTTCATTAGCCCATCTCCGTATATTTGTGTTTCTGATTTTAATACTTGCAGGAAACATTAAAGTCTATAGTATTAAGCAAGATGGGCTGCTTCACTGTCTTAAAAGGAAGGAAGAAGAAATACGAGCAATGTGCAAAGAAAAGGGATATTAAAAGAATGGAATCCACAAGCAGCACGTTACCAGAACCCGAAACGCGAGGGCCTTCTCTGCAATCTGCACCTCCCAGTTTCAAAAATAGAACAAAACTCGTCCAATCAAATAATTGGGCCAATAACAGAACCCGAGCATTATCTGCCCCCTCAAGCCTAGTAGTTGCTGATCAGGATGCTCTCTCAATGGAATTGGACATCGAAGAAGAACTCAAGGGTCAAAGTGGAACATTCAGAGACCACCGGCTCTCAAATCCCCTACCTCTCCCGCTTCCTTCACCGAAGGCTACTTCTACACTAAAAAATACAGGAAGCTTCAAATCTACGAATCTCAGCAGTCCTATTCAGATGTCGGGACCTTTGCCTCTGCCTCCTTTAGGGGGAGGGCTTCGTAATTTTTTGTATGAAGAGATTTCAACGGCGTGCCAACATTTTTCAGCGGATAGATGTGTATCTGAAGGTCTGTCATCGACGGCGTACAAGGCTACATTTGGAGATGATAGTACAAGTTTGAAGAAGCTTGAAGCCACAGTCACTCGCCTGCTTCCTTCTTCTCAGGTATCTTGTTCAAGTCTTATGCTAATGTTTATTGTAATTTTTCTTTAAGTGGAGAAATCCTGTTAATATAGCTATTATAATAGGGTTTTTCCACAGAAACCACCTTTGAATTAGGGTGATAATATGAAAACCACTTTAAAGTTCAATTAATACAGGAACCACCTTTAAAGGGGTTGCTGGGGTTCCAGTTGCGATCAATCATCTTGACCTATTTTCCAGTGAAATTTCTATTGACATCCTTGGGTATTTTATTCTCATGTTCCGACCTTTTCCTCTTCCATTAACCCAATCTTCTTGCCCATCTCAGTAAGCTGAGCATTTAATTTCTTCTTCTCAGTCAGATGCATATTCAGAGCATATAAAGGTCAAGTGATTGATTGCTACCTATACCCCCTTTGTAGGTGGTTTCTGTATTAATTGAATTTTAAAGGCGGTGTTCATATTGTCACCCCCATTTTAAAGGTGGTTTATGTGTAAAAAGACCATCACAATATGATATGCAGCCCTACTTGATTAAACAAATGTTCTTCTCAAACTCTAAATTTTGTGATCTTATTGTCTTTAGATTTTAGGATCCCATGCCAATAACAGTGTCTTCTAGCTACATGTATTCATTAGCTAAATTTAAATGTTGGAAATGATAGTAATTGGTGATATACATAATTCAATGGTAGTTATAACTATTATGGTCTAATTTTTGACGGAGGACATATGATTCTAACATTTATGATTCTAACATTTCAGAGCCTGAAGGAATTTGTGAATGAGGTGAACACAATAGCATCCTTACAACATCCCCAACTTTGTAAGTTGCTTGGTTTCCACGCACGTGAGGGTTCTGATGATAGAATGTTGGTCTATGAGAGACTGTTTCATGGAAGTTTAGATCGCCTGCTTTACGGGAGATCAGATGGACCTTCAATTGATTGGAATGCACGGGTGAAAATAGCCATATGTGCTGCACGAGGTCTTGCATTTTTGCACGAAGAAGGACCATTTCAGGTAATTGAACTTAAAACTCTGTTCGTTTTTCATTTTCCTTAAAAAATTAATTTCTCTACTGTGGGCAACTATCATGCTCCTTATTATGCATTGTGGATGATGGCAATCTTATTAATGTCTCTCTTGTCACCGTGGGTACTCTTATAGGCTATGTACAATGAGTTCTCAACTGCAAATATACAAGTCGACAAAGATTTTAGTGCAAAGCTATCAGGATATGGATGTGTAGGCTATAATTCCGATACAGAAATCCTGAACACCTCGGCGGTAAGTTTTCTCTGTGGTTTCTCGATTTTATCACAATTCCAGAAAATTAATGAATTTCGCTAAGATTCCAATTTTCAATCTTTCTTGCAGGCCACTGCAAATTTATCAGTTGAAACTTTGGAGAGAGGATTACTCACACCTAAAAGCAATGTGTGGAGCTTCGGCATTGTCCTTCTTGAACTACTCACTGGCAGGAAAAATTTTGATTCTAGACATCCCAAAGAAGAGAGAAACATCGTCAAATGGACCAAACCCTTTCTCTCTGATGATTGTCGCCTCTCCCTCATCATCGATTCTCGAATTAAAGGGCGATTCCCTCCAAAAGCAGCTCGAACAGTTGCTGACATCGCCTTAAAATGCCTTCAGAAGGAACCCTCAGAGAGACCTACGATGAGAACTATTGTGGATTCTTTGAAAAATGTTCAAGACATGAAGTCTCCTTCTCGATACCCACTTCAGGAGCCATCAGCTGTTGTAGGAAAGCAAATGTTGAAGTACCCAAGCTTCAATGGAGTCGTTATTCCAGCACCTAAATCGAGTTACTCACCGCCACGACTAGTATCACCAAGGACCTCTGAGTCAGCACTTCTTCCTTCTCGAACTTGTTCTTCTAATTTCTCGTTGGTAGAAGATGACAGGTTGGTGACTGTTAGGAAGTCTCCATCTTCAATTCGTCGATCAGGGGTAGAAGGGTTTTAATTGTTTGTATAATGTAATAATATCTATTCTTTTGGTTGTGTTTAGTTTTATTTTTTTTATGTGATTAAATATAGATGTGGTATTTTCCATGAGTCCTTGATATATTGGACAGGAGCATGGAAAGTTGTAAATAATGATGAGTGTACGCTTTCTATTTTGAATGGATGTACAAGTTTTTTGCCTGAGAGCTAAAACAGTGTTGGTTGTGGCTCCATTTTGAACGTGCATCCTTCGATGTGATTCTTGCATAGAGGGCTGATTCTGTAATGCTGAAGCTTGTATAAACTGCAAATAATTTGACAATGTAAATTGAGAGTACTAATTTCATTCATTGTTGATGGTCAGTATACCTAAGTTCATAAATATAACATGAAATCAAGAAAAAGTAGGTTCTGAACCCGATAACTGCACTCTTTCTCCATATTTGTTGTACACTATAGTGCTCAGCTATGGCACTTGACTTTTCTACCATTAGTCAGAATCTGGGTGAACAGGACAAAACTCTTCACACAGAGATTTCAGCAGCAAAACTCTTATTAGCCAAAGTAGCAAGACCAATTTTTGTTAATAAAGGATAAAATCTTGATATTCATCTTCATTAAATCCAGTTCATTGCTAATCGCCAATCGTTGCGCGTTACTAGGATATCATGCATACCAGATTGCAATACCTGTATTTCGTTAACTGTTAGTATACTAGTCCGATATCCACTACGAAAACAGTTTTCGATATGCTATATAAATTTATGCAGTAATACATAATGGAACATGCAGTTAAATGCTATGCAGCAGAGAGCGCCAAGCTTAATTATGTATGTCAGCAATTACAATCATTTTCCAACCTTTAAATTTAGAAAATGAATACATGTAGCTAGAAGTCACTGTTATCGGCATTGGATCCTAAAATCTATAGACACTTACGGAGAGTAATTCTGCGATAATACCTGTAGAATAAGGCGAAAAGGCTATTAACTCCAAGATTGATAGAAGCAGTAGCTACAGAATTTTCCAACTTTAGTCTGTAATCATCAAAAATACCATAAGATTTTCTGTTGCGGTTCTTGTTCTCGCTCTTCGAAGATAAACTGGTATCTCCTGCAGCTTCTTCAATATTGACATAACCCCCCAAGGTTGTGTTGACTCTGGTATCTTGCATCAGTTGGAAAGCTACAACAATAAAATTGTTGTTAGTTACACTATAGAAACTTAAGACAAGGAACCAAGTCAATAGTATACTACAACGTAACACCCCATAGAGTATTTATTTCAAGTTGACGAACATTTAATTATCTAATAACAAAATCTTCCAGGAAACTTTCAGGACGGAATCATTTAGTATGGTTGCAGAACTCAACAAGGCATCTGTTGTTGGAGCACACAAGTATTATACGCTAACGATACACTTGGTAAACGGGTGGAGAAAAGAAAAGAATAAAATTGAATCTGACTCAAATTATCGAATATATTTCAGGCAAAAAAAAAAGGGATATGGATCACAATCAAAACAAATTAGGATATCAATAAGGAGGAATCTGGTGCTGACTGCTTCCTTCATATATTATCGAAGTTATGGAAGAGCCAAATGAAAAGTTCCTCCAGGATCACTAGCAATATTGCCGATAATTGGTGAGTCCTTCAGTTCTCTCAAGGCTCGGAGAGAGGGTTGGGCTAATGAGTGGATCCAAAGAAGAACAGAAGCCGATGTCTTGTGTTCAAAACCTCGGTCATGGAAGCAAAACTATCGTTGTTGTAGGCCGTGTTGGCAATAAGTTTGTGCTGAGCGCTAGTGATGATCGATGTTCTCTGTATAAAACAACCTGCCACTTGTTTGAACTCAGCAGAGAAAGGTAAGGCCAAAAGAATATCTTGACTGCTGACACACACTTAAAAATGTCAAATAGATAATAATAACCTGCTTTTTTCTTACAGAGCACACAAATTTCCCCTTCATGAACTACGTTCTTCCTTAAAAAAAATTCAAAATTAAAGGCCTATCAATCAGCAGGGTATAGAATACACCTACTCACATAAGCTTTCCATAAATATCAGTCTCGTATCTATATAACAAAGGTGATTGGCCTTCTCTGCTGTTAAGTCTCTTTTTTTTCATCAAAACATGGTATCAGAGCATAATGATGTGAAAACCCTGATTCCCTACGCCTCTTTAAATTTCTTAGCCTAGCCCTTTATTAAACGAAATTCTCAGCCTTCTCTCTCTTCCCCCAGATATTAAGTCATTTTTTCCCCCATCATAACAGTACTCATCAAAATTCACAGAAAGTAAAATTTACTAACCCAGAAGGGCAAAGAGGAATACATTCACGCATACATACATGCGTGCATGTGTGCATGCATACTACTGCTACTACTGATGATCATAATTATTAACCAGTAATGTGCTAAATGTTACATAGAGACCTTCTTTTGCACTTTAAACTTATCAACAAAACATATGGTAATTTGACACAAAATTGAAATGGAATATAGAATTAAGCACATAAAAGCAGTCATTATTTCTCAGAACTTCAAGATAAATTAATAACGATTCTTAATCTTTTCTCTAAGCCTTCATCTTTACAGGTATAAGCTAGTAAAGGGGGCTCTCATGTCATTACTCAAACCAGAGGATTGCCTTCAACACTATACTAGTCACATAGACGCTCCAGTCAAATCCGAACTACTAACTGAAACAAATTAAGAACAATGGTAATCGGCGGTACCTTTCATGAAAAAGCTTGCCTTCAACTTAACATGTACTCTATTATTTGGCCTACATGATGAGCCAACAAATGAACTATTGTATGAAGATTTCACCCAATCCTTGAAGGGTCTGTGGTCTCTCTCCACAAATATTCCAGGAACTAATTACCGAAAAGCACTTGAAGAAAGTGCCAGAACTGTGAAAAGACTGCTCCAATTTTAGAGAAAAGAAAGAACGAACTAAATTAAGGGAGAACTAGTGGAAAAGATCGATGACTTGATATCTCATTTGTTATCTATTAGAGGTGAGAATGGTGATCCCCTTACAGAAGAAGAGGCAATCAACAATGTTATTGTGTTACTGATTGTTAGCCATGATAATTCTGCGACGCTATTGAGCTTGATAGTCTGGAAAATGTCGGGAGATACCAAGATCCACAACAAAGTTTTAGAAGGTAACGTAACATTTTTACTATTAGGATGTGTGACATATATGTTTAGCTCATTTCTAGTTTAAACTACAAGGAAACAACCTAGCTAAAAGTCCTCTTTAAACAGATTATAGCAGTATTCAAAAGACGAAGAATATCTAATGTCTTTACTTTGTTTTTCTTGCTACTCAGCTTTTGAATGATAGCCCCCTCACAGATAATAGAGAAATGGACTTCGAAATAGTTTTTGAGAAAGTCTGCATGGTAACCGATCTATGTTTCTGTTCTCTACCGTGAAAATGAGAATTTTACGTGAGAGGCATCAAGATATGCAAGGGAGCTAAAATGCATTGAAATACAGAAGATAAAAATATATGTGGACAGTTGCGCAGGAGCTGCTGAGACTAAATTCCTTATTCAGAAAATATTTAAGGATCCTGAAAAGTTCGATCCCTCGCGCTTTTTGAATCCATCAAAGCCTATTCCACCCTTTGCTTACATTCCGTTCCCTTATCCATCCAAGGGATTACCAATCAATTTAAGTTGGAAGCAAGGACTCTATGAAACTCGTTTCATCTTGAAAGACTTGGATACATAAAGCATCCACAAAGTGAAATGTTTATGTGCAGTTTGTGTCTTAGCATTGTCTATAATTAGAGCCAGTGTATAAAATGTGGAAAAAGTGGAATCTATGTAAAACATACATTTCTATCATAAAGTTGTGCCATGTGTTCATATTCATGTGTAGTCATTTTGCATATTTTTGTGACATGGACCTGTTGGCATGTCCATGTTATTAGTATAAATCTGCATAAATGAATGGAAGTTCAAAGAAAGGAAATTGTTACAGCATTCAGAGCTGTCCTTCAACAATATATATAGCTAATCAACACCCGGTACAGTTTGATAAAGTAGAGAATTTTAAATTTCCTAATACACCTGATTCAGATAAAAGTTTTAAGCGAAAATCAGAGATATGACCCAAGCGACAGTGCCACAAATCAGAAACAGAGAGCCCATGACCAATGTTGGATGGAGTGGAAAGATGTAGAGACTCCAACTGATAAAGTCCATTAACTCTACGACCTGTCCCAATCTTCTGTCAGTGTGATCTTGGACAACACAAGATTCAGCATTAAATAAGATAGTACAACCAGAATCTGTAATTTTCCCAATGGATAAAAGTTGCATAGATAATTTGGGAATATGAAGAACAAATAATAATGATAGACGACCAGAACTATCAGAACTTGAAGTAATATAACCTAACTGAGAGACTGCAAGCGGAGTGTCATTAGCAGTATAAATGCATAATGAAGAAGGAGCAGGTGAATAATTTGTAAGAACAGAGTTATCAAATGTTATATAATGAGATGCACATGAGTCGAATATCCAATGAGTAGAAGTACCAGAATGAGCAGACAATGTAGTAAAATATGAGCTGGAGGCAGCTCCACTAAACCTAAAATTATTGGTTATTAATGCAGTAATCTCTGACAACTGCTCAGAAGAAAGAGGCCTAGAAGTCTGCGGCCCTTAAGGAGCAGGGCTAACATCAGCCGAAACAGCAAATGGAGGTCGAGTCTTCTCAAATGTCGGACGAGGTGGTCTCTTACGATATTTATCAATAAGATGACCCAGCTTCTTATAATAACGACAGTAGAGTTGCCGAGAGGAATCATATGTGCTGTTAGAAGGACCCCGATAGGAAGAGAACTATTGAGAAGTAGCTAGAACAGTATGTGATGAGGGTAATGGCTGAGATGCAATAACTTGAGGGGAGAGCATCTAAGGCGCGTCTCTTCAGATATGAACTCAGCCACAGCTTCACAGAGACTGTGAGAGGACTGCGATGAAGAATGTGTCCATGTAAGCTTTTGAACTCAGAACGAAGGCACATGACAAAGCGATATAACTATTGACGATCACGTTGTTTTTGAAATGCTATGGCAAAGTCTAGAAACGTCTCAGGAATAGGTTCCTCCATTATTTGCAATTCCTCCCAATAGCTTGATAATAAGGAATAGAAATCTTGAATAGACCGATCACCCTGACATGCATCCTGAAGAGCTTGGTGAAGTTGATATTTACGAGCAGCACCAATATGAACAAACATGC